CCCGCCGATCCATAAGCGATTCTCCGTCCGAACGGTTCCGACTCTGCAAAGGTGAAATTGTTCCGGACGATTGTCATTCTGGTAAGATCTAAGCGCACTTTACGGAACTTCGTCAATCCGGCTGCGGAATAATTCATTCCTCTTGGTTTTCCGGAACATTCAGACCTCGCCCAGTAGGGTCTGAGAGGTTGTCGTCTACCGTACACGTAAGCATAGTTCTTGTCGATACCAGCTGGCAATGTAATGAATTCTTTGGGGTAACTGGTATTCATGGTAAAGCAATAAACCTTGATCGGGTTATTACACTTGGTCATGGCATATATGAAGTACTCTCCATCCTTTGAAGCCAAACGTGCTCTTTTTAGACCCGCGCAGCTTGTTGCTTTTCTTTCATAAAAGAAAGAAGTACATACCTTTTAGGTTAAAGTTTCACCTTTATCATCAGTTACATTTGTAACAGTATTTCCATAACTCGACAGAAACACAAAGAGAATGATTTCTATTTCTTTTAAAAAAACTAAATCAAGAAAGAGAAGGAAAATTACTCGTTTAGTTGGATTAACAAAATGTACCGCTTTTAATTAATGGCATTAATACGTCCTTTCTAACAAGAGCGTTTTCGAAATTTGCGAACTAGTAGTAGACAAGAAATAACTTTGAGATAAAAACACACAGTTTTAAATTTGCAAAACATGTTTCGGATGACCAACATCCATCTTCGGTTGCAAATACAAGTGAACCGCTTGTCGGTGTGATATAAAAGCGAACTTTCATAGAATATTTGAATACTACACTAGCAGTTGCTAATGGCAAATGAAGTACTGCGATATGAAACACACACTTTGCATAAAATATCTCGGATAAGCTTCTCAGATATCAAACTTAGAATGACTACTACATTAGTGACGTTAAGTTGAGATCTATTTACACCAATAACGCATAATCCATCAAGACCCCACAGTATTATTTAGAGGATAATACATGGGTCCGCGTAGATATGGAATTTCTCTTCGAGTGTTCAACTTGATATCTCACTCGTTGGCTGTGCTCACTCGTGAGATATAAAATTGAACACGAGAAGAGAAATTCCATATCTACAAGCAGCCATGTATTATTTTGTTTATTATATGAACATACCAATGAAGACTTTTTTGACGATTTTCCGAAGATTTCCGAAGATCCTCCAAAGGTTGTCCGAAGACCAGACAAACGTTTCCGAACACTTTCCGAAAATTTCCGAAGATAACCGAAGATTTCCGAGGAAAATCGATGATGTTTCAATCATACAGCAATGGGGATCTTTTCATTCGTGAAAATAACATGTATTTTTTTCTCAAGCATCTGAGCGGGCCGGAATCCTAAATCCTCGAATTTGATTGGCTAATCATACGCA